GCCAATTTCTTGTCCCAGTGATCGCGTCTACCTCTTTTCATTCACTTCCCAGGACTCGCATTTCCGCTTGCATCATCATCTTCGTCAAAAGTTTTAGTCCTTTCTTCAAACAATGTTCTTCCACTATTATCAGTGCCATAACTACTTAATGGTCTATCATCCTGAGTAAAGGGGAAGACTGGCCAAGCAACTGCACAGTTTGTTTATTGTTCTGAGCTTTCAAACTCGTACAGGAGTTCATTGTTAGGGATAAGAACAGCAACAAAGTAGGCGACAATTATAGGAAATGTGGACCACTCAAACATCAGTGAAGCACGCTTGGAGTGGTGACTGCGCAGAGCTCTGTACGTCAGCGCCAAATCGATACATCGATTAACTCTGTTCCCATCCCGGGACCAGTCTTTAATTAATTCGCGGTTCGTTTTGTTTCCGGCGTGAGCGAATATCTTAGCGGCTGCGAAGTTGAACTCATGACCCAATGCCAGGGGTGTAAGCAGCAACTTGCGATAATTCGTCGCCCCGTCGCACAGCCAGCCTAGTTCCATGTATGCGTGGTCCAAGCATGCATTCAATTTGGCCTATGTAAGTACAAGGACAGCTTTGGCATGGGATGCGATACGCTGTAGCGATCTAGGTAATGGTTGCACTTGGATCACTACAATAATCAGGCCAAATCCCAGGTTGAAGGTAAAAGGCAGAAATCACCTGTGAGAGAGATTTATTGTGCACAGAACTCTCTGTTGCAGTCTCAGGTGGCAGTGGCCACTGGCGAAGCCAGCTCTAGTGTTGACTGCGTCCAGCCAGACCTGAAAGAGCGTAAGACAGTGGTGGCAGCTGCTCAAGTAGGATTGCGGAGCAGGTTCAAGTGTTATCCGATTGGTGTGTGTTTGTCATTAGCCGAGAAGTGTCGCGTCTGGTGGCGTGAGCTCTGTCGGCCGAGGGTGGGGGAAAAGGACACTTTCGAGTGGCCCTTGGGCAGCCGCGACAACCTGGACGCACTTGTGTGTGTCTGAGTGGAAGTCAGTCAAGTCTCTGCAGGTCAGTGCGTCTGAAAGCGCTGACTGAGGTACTGGATGACCTTGAGGCAGCTGGCCTTGAACAAGGACGCCGGACAAAACAATGCGGGGCGTCGGCTACAACTCTCCCCCAGACAACGAACAAAGTGAGGGATCGACAGTGTGGTCAAACATCTTAAGGTCAGCGAGTCGGAACAGCCACGTGTAAAGGCGTATGATGTCGGGGGCCGCGGACATTGAAGAACGAAGAGGGGGAGGACAGGCATTGCGGCCGTCCGCCACAGCTCCCCGCCAGACACAGAACGAAGTGAATGTGTCGAACGTGAGTGAAAGATTAAAAGAAGGAAATAATTCAGTGCACATGCAGGTTGGAGAGCATTTGTCGTGTGTGACAGTGGTTGCTCGTGCTAGAGTCTAGGGCGATGCCTGCAACTTAAACTGAGGTGCAGTTATGGCGTTAACCGGAGGAAGTGCTTTTGCGATTCCGACAACGTTTACCAGTGAGTCAGTACGTTGAAAGGAGAAGAGGATGTGTTCTTGAGTTCGAGTACGTGTGCCATTGAGTGGACACGTTGGTGGGAAGGAAATTCATCTCCGCAACGTGTGCCATTGAGTCGGCACGTTGCTAGGAAAAGGACCATCTCGACTACGTATGCCAGTGAGTTGGCAATTTGGTAGGAGGAAAGGTTGTTCTGGTGTGATCTCGGTGATAAGAGGAAGGAGACTTCGAACACGGGGCATCCCACTGAGAGCTGAGTCGGACTAATGCGTCAGTGAAGTAGGCTCAATGTCATCCAGACACAAAATTGGGATACAGTGGAGTGTCGAAAGTTTGAAAATTTATCGATACGTACAAAATTTCATATCGAGTATATCGTGTAAAGGACTCACGAATGATAGTTTCGTTGTTGATGGGCGGAGGAATGTCTCGTTCACAGACGAGATGTGATAGGATAGCAGCACATTTGGATAAATGTTCCGAAAAACTTGTCTCGAGTTCGACCTGGATATGAATGGCCGAGTTTTGTTGATGACATCAATCTCGATTCGCGACAGGTTGTCGGCAACCGCGTTTCCTTATCCGTGGGCACGATGAGTGACACAGGAAAAACAGTACGGTGAAGTCGAGTTTTAATTTCGTGAAGAGGTTGTCAGCCATATCAGAAGATTGTTGTGTGTATAGATCACGTCATGGTCACCAATTTGTAGCATTCTAGGTAATGATTGTACTTGGATCACTACAATGATCAGGCCAAATCCCAGGTTTGAAGTTATAAGGTAGCAGGCACCTCTGAGAAACCGCGACTAGCTGGGCACGCGTTTGCGCGCGTGTGTGCGCTGGTGTGGAGCACGTACGTGAGTGAGTGAATATCGGTCAGGTGGTCTTCAGGTCAGCAAGTGGGAACAGCCGCGTGCAATAACAAATGACGTTGGGAGCCGCGGGCATTGCAGAAAGAAGGGGGGACAGACATTGTGGCCGTCCGCCCTAACACAGCCGCAAATTGCTTTTTGTGATTTAGTCGGCCTTTGATGTTCACTAACCTGCTGCGCATGGTAACTTTTAGTCGATATGCAATTCTAACACCATAGTCCCGCAGCGATGCTCACAGCCGCTTCTGCGACGTCCCTTATGTATGGCAGGGCGTACCACATCCTCGATGCTGCTTCTGTCTGGGTCCTCCGAGGTCGAACGCGTTGACATCAGTTTAAACACGCCTTCGCATATCCATTCTGCACAAACTCGTCGCGGAGATATCGGGCCTCGCGTACATTTTCCTCCGGCTTACTGCAGTGAGTCTGAGTCCGTTTGCGGACCGCTCTCACAAACTGTTCCAGTGCTCGACAGGCCTGCTGCTTTATTCATACAAAAACGTAGAACGTGAACCCTCGCATTTACGTATTTATCATCCTTTCTTAATGCCCCTTCTGTTGCGGTTCATTCTTGTTCCTTCCAGCATTCTATCCTCAATTTTCGCCCACATCCTCCCCTCTTACTTCTGACTTACATGTTTCCTCCTCATGATTTTCATCATCCTGCCCTTAAAGCATGTGCTTGTGTTTCTCGAAAGTGATCGTGCGGTCATTAGAGTCAGCAAATGTCAGCCGAGCGTTCGTGTTTACTTGTAACCATCCTCTCATCCCAACTGTTGCCCTCGTAGTCCCTGAACTGTACAATATCGTTGTTCTCGCCCGCCCACTTGCTTGTCTGCCTGCCCCTCCTTCCCTCCCTCCCCCTCCTCCCCTCCCTCCTGCTCCTGCTCCTCTTCTTCTTCTTCTTCTTCCTCCCTCGTTCTCCTCCTCCTACTGCTCCTCTCCCTCCCCCCTGCTCTTCTTCTTCTTCTTCTTCTTCTTCTTCTT